CTAATAGTTGTAATGCTTCTTCCTCATCATCAGGCACTAAAAGTTCACTCTTGGTTTTTGTCCTCTCCCGTTGGAATGAATTAACTTATCGTCACGTTTGTTGAGCTAAATACGCTCTACATACCAGACGTCTGGCACCTGTGGCGCCGCTCCATGTAGCCGATCTGGATAGTTTACGTCCAGAGTGAAGACATGGCTAATACCATCAACCATCTGCAGCTATAAGTTCTTTTGTCAATTCCTATAGTCGCTGCTTACGGGACGGCACTGTGTAATAGATTCGCAATCATATCGACATGTACGTGGTGGAGCTATGCTGCAGCTATATTCTATACATGTAATAAAAATGTAAATTGCACATGTCTGTATATTTTGCATGTTTGTAACAAAACTTATTGAGAGGGACTATAAATAAGTAACTGAATACATTTCTATCATTTTTAGAATTATCTGTCTGACTGTCTGTTTGTTTGTTAAAGTATCACGTATTAAGTACTAATATATCAAAATAATCAGCAAGAAAATTATAAAGCGTATTTTTGTATTTAATTAGTCTTTGTTTCATTGAAATCGGTTCATTCTATCAAAAGTTATGACTAATATTCTGAAGTATGGGTAGGGTCGTTGCGCTGGTTTTCGGCCTTTTAGTGGAGTTGTCAATTTTAAGGTACTATAAAAAATAGTAGCGATTATGTTGACTTAATTTTAATTTATAGCTTATATAATGTAGTTTTCATTTTGATAACTCATTGATGCTACAAAAGAAATCTATTTTTTATAATAAATTTTGATGTGAAAAATATGCAAAACGCTAGTTTTCGGCCCCAAATTTTAGATTTCGGCCTACAAGAATTTTAGTTTTCGGCCACTGTATTAGAAGAGGTATAGTACCTCTTCTAATACAGTGGTACTAAAACTTAAAAGTGTTTTTGTAAAATCAGAAAATGGCAAAACGGTTTGGGAAATCGGTGTATTTAGTTTTCTTAATCGGTGATTGCGATTTTTTAACCGTGACGTAATTTTTTTCTTTTTGGGTGTTTTTGATATAAAATAATAACCATGATTAATTATTTCTCTTTGAATCATAATCTAATAATAAAATCTTTTAAATATACCAATCAAATATTCTCATTTACGAGTATTTCGTACTTCCTCATAAGTATTTTAGTTTAACAAAATCTGTTACCATCTCTAACCACCATAGAGGAGTATCTGAAGAAAAAAATTTCTTATTGAATCTTCTTCCTAAAACGCAATGTGAATAAAATATTTGATATGATAAGATGAAATGGCCGTAAACGTAAACTAAGACAGCATTCCATTTTCCGCCGCCGTATTCTTTCATACAATTTTAAGGCGCTGTACATAGTCAAAGTAGGCTTCAGAAAACATTTTTTTAGGAAAATGTATACAATTTAGAGCTGCAAAAAAATATATGTTAATCTTGATCATATATGTTGGGGGACCATTGTGTTCAAACCACGTTTTCGGTAAATTTTCTCGATAGAAAAAAATCATAAAAAATCCATTAAAAATGAAATTATAGCGATTGTAACTGGATTATTTATAAACAATTCTTGATTAAGTTAGTAACAGTGATGTAATATGTAATAATAAAGGGAACTGTTGTTTTTATTTATCGATTAAAATAATATATTTGTAAGTATTAACATATTGATTAATAACCCGAACGAGTCCAATGAAACAACGCGCCATCTTGGTGTCTTTTTGCTTCTCTTTCATTTCTACGCGGAGCGACACTGACCCACAGAGTACCTTTGTATAAAACTGAAAACTGACCGCTGAGGCGCGCTGCTAGATAGACCTGTTTCGCTCGCCGCTCAAAAATCATTTACGTATGTTTTGTTGTTGAAAGCCGTGTATATTTTATTTTGTGATTAGTTTTTTATAAGTTGTATTGTTAGTGTAAATATTTATTCGGTTTCGGTTCTAGTGATACGTTTTGTAAATATACAATTAGTTTTTTATAAGTTGGTCTAAACTTTTTGCGATTTAGGTTTTAGTCATAAGATTTGTAAAATAAACAATCAATGTATGCATACATTAAAAATGGGCAACAAAAAAAAAATAAACGCAGGGCAATAAAGAGATCTTATTCGATGAAACAAAAACACACGATGGAAGTTGTAAAGTATCTACATTTTTGTGCACACCTTATTATGGTTATATAGATTATCTATACATGTGAAATTTCAACCACCCCGTCAGTAGTTCGATTGGTCTACGGTTCTTTCATACAATTTTAAGTTGGCCGAAAACTAAATTGTAATTATTTTAGGGTCAATCCAGTTTTCGGCCACGACCAAAATGGGTATTTTGTTTCATCACTAACTGTTCAAATTCCAGTACTTGATGGCCGAAAACTGAAAGTTAGTGTCTACACACGCTACGATTCAATATAAGAAAGATGAGTTATAGTACGTAACCAAATAAACGAAAGAGACAAAGTATTTAGGCTAAACTCAGGCTACTTTTCGGCCGCATGGCCGACAACCAAATAATGGGACAATTTTATGTGTCACTTTTCGACCACTTAATTTATTAACTTTATCAATAAATTATTATAATAATCAGTGTCAAATAACTATATTATTTATTTATACAGTGAAATATAAGCACAATATTAAGTAATTATATTAAATACAGCACGAAACTTACTTTTGAATGGAACGCTCGCCACTATTTTTTTTGCTCGATCTTACCCGTTTTGATAGCTTCAGTGCCGGCGTCAAACTAATTTTATTATAAATCGCGTGTTGTGTTTACCTGATTAATTAATGCTACCAGATATAGTGAAACTATTTATAAATGCATTAAACTGTATTTCGTACGATAATATTTATTAAAATTGTTATTAAATCAAATTTACTACATCAGCTCGTGCCAAAGGCCGAAATCTAGACCCGGCCGGCTTACCGGCGCATCGACCCTACGAATTATAAGTACGAATTTGTTCAATAGCAGCGTTGAGTCATCAAGTGCATGTTATCCGTATATCATAAATAAATGATGTAAAATAATTTTCCATAAGATATAATTATATCTGAAACGCAGTAAACAAAAATAAGAAAGAATAACGTAATAAATATAAACAATGAATATAAGCTTTGATATCCAAAGTACAATAGTTAACCGATATCATCGATAGATGGTGGTGCTGTAATAGATAAAGGCAGGTTGTGTTTTTTTACTGTAGATGCGTCTTTATAACAAACTAATTTATTTACAAAATTTTGAATAAGAACTATTGCTTAAAATGTTTTTCTTTACCGTTGAGTAAACTTAATAAAATTTTGAATAATATATTAACAATGTGGGCATCCACGACTTTTTGTGCCACCAGGGCGGCGCCACTTAAAATGAGGTGTAATATTTGACAGATTTCATAGTCGGGAAGTTATTTTTTTCGAAAATTGTAAAAGCTAATGTTTCTTTCTGTACCATTAGTTATAATTTATATTAATTAGAATAAAAATAAATAAACCAAACCGCATATATTCATTAAACTATAAAAATTAAAAAAATTGTTAAAATGTGCACACAATTAAAGAAAAAAACCACAGAGGCATTATTTTGTGTATTAATATAATATTCTAGAAACTGATAAACTTTTATTAAAAACTACATTATCAATTAAATGACATTGTGTAACAAAAAACTTCACCTCAATGTCAACTAGTGACATCAGGCATGCGTCAGATTATTTGCATTACGTACACTACATTACGTACGTACGTTTAACGTTAACGTTAAACGGTTTTATTTAGCTCACCCCGTTTGTTTTATTTATTATTCTTGGGTCAAATTTAGTCATTCAAATTTCACCCTCTTCCTGTCAACCGATTAATCTGAAATTTTGTATACACTTTGGATTTTGGTGACAATACAATTATGTTTATTCATTATCACTATAAATTCAAGATGGCCGCCGCTACAAAATGGCGGATAATTTATGTTTTATTAATCCCATCAATATGGGTATCAAATGAAGGGGCTCAACAAGCAGAATACAATATACTATAAAAAATTGAAATACAAGATGGCGGCCGCTACAAAATGGCGGATAACGTAGGTTTTATCGATCCCATCAATATGGGTATCAAATGAAAGTGCTCAACCAGTATAATACAATGTACTATATAAAATTAAAATCCAAGATGGCGGCCTCTACAAAATGGCGTATAACTTAGGTTTTATCAATCCCATCAACATGGGTATCAAATGAAAGGTCTCAACAAGTAGAATACAATTTACTATGCAAAATTGAAATCTAAGATGGCCGCCGCTACCAAATGGCTGATAACAATTTTTTATCAATCCCACCAATATGGGTATCAAATAAAAGGGCTTGACAAGAAGAATACAGTGCACTATACAACCTTAATATTTAAGATGGGCGCAGCCACCAAATGGCGTATAATAATAAGATTTAAATTTAGAAATTGAATCTGTAATTTAGGTATCTGATTAATCCAGCCTGAATCCACCACCCAAGTCAAGATTTTGTATCGTGTTGAGGACTGTGTGGCGTTAGGGTGGCTAAAAATGATACGTCGTTAGCGGTACACCACCCAAGTTAAGGTGAAAGGTTAAAACGCGCCGAGAACTGTATGGCATTAGGGTGGATAAAAATGATATGTCGTTAGCGTTTTCCCCTCAAGACTCAGGCGCATCTTGTTGTACATAGCCTTGCCCCTTTATTGGACCTCTGGGGGGGGTCGACCGTTTAAATGTCCATTACTCGTGGGAACAAAATGGTAAAAAAAATATAAAAAATACAAACACAAATAAAACAGAAACTGCAACACAACGTAAACGAAGGCTTCAAAAAGCGAAAGAAAAGTATAAAGCAAAACGAGCTAAAGAAAGTGAAGGTGATAGAAATAGTCGATTACAGAAACGACGGGAACAATTAGCGTCAAAAACAACCTGAGCAATATGAGGCCAGGTTAAAAAAGCAACGTCAGCGATATACACAAATGACGGCGTCAGAAACGCCTGAAGAATATGAAGCCAGGTTAACAAAGCAACGTGAGCGATACACACAGATGATAGCGTCAGAAACGCCTGAAGAATATGAAGCCAGGTTAACAAAACAACGGGAGCGATACACACAGATGATAGCGTCAGAAACGCCTGAAGAATATGAAGCCAGGTTAACAAAACAACGGGAGCGATATACACAGATGGTAGCGTCAGAAACGCCTGAAGAATATGAAGTTAGATTAATACAAAGCCGTGAAAGACAAAGACAGCAGTTGAGTTCAGAAACGCCTGAACATCGCGATATGAGGTTAAATAAACAACGAGAGCGTACCCAGCAATGCAGAGCTAATAATCTGCAGGCATTCGAGAATGCTATTAACACAATTTCTATACATGTTTGTGATATTTGTATCAAACGTTGTTATCCTAATCAAGTTCGTACAGTTCGGTACAACGCTGCTGCATTAACATACTCACCTGTGGAGTTAACTTCGAAAATATCATTGTTATTATGTTCCCGCTGTCAAACACATGTTACTAGTAATAAAACAACAGCACCACCAAAAGCTTACTGGAATAATCTGGATCCAGGTTCTATACCAGACGTTATTCAAACATTGACACAGGCGGAACAACGTTTGCTGTGCAGAATAATTCCCTTTGTTAAAATCGTGAAATTTAGTGGCCTCTATGGGCAGTACGGTTTTCGCGGACAGGCAGTTTTATTTGCCCAAGATATCTTTGAAGTCAGTGAAAGACTGCCTGGTATGCTACCAAGATCTGCAAGCCAGGTAGGCATTATTGTAGTAACCGAACGATTAGAAAATTTGAACATCACCAGGGAATTCACAATATGTCGCGAAAAAGTCTATAGTGCTTTAAGATGGTTAATCAGAAATAACCCGCTTTACAAAGATGTACGTATTGACGACAATGCCCAAATTAGTGACCAGGAGTTAGTACGACTTAGTGTGCCCGAATTGTCTGAAGATGAAGCGTCCAAAAGGAATGAAAATGAAATTCGAAATGCATTCATTCCAATTAATAATGTTGCAAGAATTATTCGAGCTTCATGGCATCAAGGTGACTACAACGTCTTTACTTCGCGATATGCTGGTGTACAATGTAGTGCTATGTCGTTGGCGAACATTGTCCGAGCTGCAATCCTAAGCCCTAATCAATGGGACGTCAATATTCTGAATGCTAATATGTTAGCGGGTGACTCCTTATATTGCTGGATTCGTACCCAGCTTGATCCTACTGAACTGGATGAAACAGGATATTTAGAGATACGAAACTTTCATATCGTCAGGCAAAGTTTACAAATGTATGAATGCCGATTTTCTATAGAATATGATGAAGACACTCTTTTATTCGGGAGTCTCCAAGAGTCTGTAAATACCAATAATATCGGCATTACATTACATATAGCTTTAAATAGATTATTTGATAGTCGTTCTTCAGGAATATTGACAGCGTCAAATAAATCTGTTAGCGTATTTCGCGGTGAAGACAAATACTATTTTGCTGACTCCCATTCTTGTGGCCCAAAAGGAAAACCAACACCAGAAAATGGCAAAGCCTGTGTTATAGAATGCGACAACTTACAAGAACTGTGCCGCATCTGTAAAAGATGCCTCGGATCCCGTAATATCGCGTACACCCTTACACGCGTAGACGTACATTTGAGGGAAAATATTATCACTCGTCAGGGTGTTCAAGTACAGCAACAGGAAGATGCCATCAGGATGTACAAGTACAACAACCGCTTTCGAATCTGAGATCTGAAACTATACCTATACAAACATCTGTAATGTTGCCTATTGATAGCGTCCAACCTGATGTTGAAGATGAGCTAGAGGTATCTGAAAATGTAAACGAAATCAGAAGAAAGACGAATAATAATATTGTGAATGAAGCTTATGAGTTAAAAGCAGAAGAGTTCGCATGGTATCAGCTTTTCCCGTATGGTAAAAATGGTTTGAAAGAACAACGGCCCGTAAATATAAGTCCTTTGGATTTATCATTTCGTTTATTTGGTGCTGATGTTAGATTTTAGCGCAACGATTGCCTATTCTATGCTCTATCAATGTTTGAGTACTATCGAGTTAAATCAACCATTGCAGCTTGTGCTAGAAAAGTTGAAGGTGAAAACGGCAATCGAGTGGAAGACCTGCACTTATATTTAAAAAATCTAAGAGGTTCCGCTGCTTATTGGCGTAGTGCTCTTAGTGATCTTATAGCACAAATCAGATGTTTAGGACCTCCCACTTATTTTGTTACATTGAGCTGCAATGATCTTTACTGGAAGGATATGAAAAGAGGTCTCCTTGTTAGTGATGGTAAACAGCACATTGACCCAGATGACATAGATATTCAGGAAACTCAGAGACTCATCGAGATGTATCCAGTTGTTGTGAGTAGACATTTTATGGTACGTGTTAATGCGCTAATGCAGTTTCTTAAAACTGATACTGAAATATTTGGCGGTAAAGTTAAAGATCATTGGTGACGAATCGAGTTTCAGAACAGAGGAAGTCTCATTTGCATATGGTTGTTTGGATCGAAGATCACCCGTCTGTTGCGACACCTGAAGGAATAGCTCGCATTGATTCAGTCTGTAGTACTGCCATTCCTCCAGAAACTTCAGAACTATATGAATTAGTTAAAAATTGTCAAATACATCGACACACTAGTACCTGCACGAAAAATAATTCTGTTTGTCGTTTCAATTTTCCACGCTCGGAATGCTTAGAGAACACATGTTATTGATCCTTCATCTAACGAATTCATCTACAACGGTGGTCGCATTTGCGTTCTGAAAAGAAAAAGTGAAGATGGTTGGGTAAATAATTACAGTCCTGCTTTGCTAAAAATGTGGAAAGCCAATATGGATATACAACCGTGTGGTACAAATGAGTCGATTGCGTATTACATCGCTAAATACGTGTCAAAATCAGAACCTACAAACCTAGATGGTGAAGTATCTCGAGCTATTCAACAAATTAGAAGAGAAGAAACTGACGTCTCGCGTAAGCTGTTTAAAATATGCATGCGCATATTAAGAGAACGTCAAGTTTCAGCCTGCGAATGCGTATTCAGGCTATGCCATTTGAGTATGCGTGACAGCTCGAGAAAAACAATTTTTGTCAATACTCGTAAAGCGGAACAAAGGTATAAAGTGTTGAAGTTTAATGAAGCTGGTCAAGCAGCAGGATATTGTGCCAATATTTTCGAACGATATGAAAAGCGACCAGCAGAGCATCCCAACAATAATTTTAACAATATGTGTCTCATAGAATTTGCGATGTTATTTGAGCCACACTACACAAAACCGCCAGTTATAAATGAAGAGAGCATCGATACCGATGCTTATGCACCGCACGAGCAAACAACAAGAAGGCGTCTTATAACTTTAACAGACAACACCAAAATGACTATTAGAAACACGCCAGCTGTAGTACGGGTACCTAACTTCGTAGCAGCTTCTGATCCAGAGTCATATTATTACAGTTTACTAATCCAGTATATGCCGTATCGCAATGAGGCCGAACTTTTAGGAGAATTTAATGTGCCAGATGCGTTTCTCGCCAACGAAGAAAGTTTAAGACAAACATACGCCTACTTGGAAATATATCGTGAACGTGACAGGCAGCTTGAAAATGCATTCGCGCAAGTACACGCATTTCAGATACTGGAACACGCAGAGCCGATGGAACTAGACCATGAAGAAGAAGTTCCTTATTTGCCAATGAATGAAGACCAGTTCTTACAGGCTAAGCAGTCTATGAATGCAGGACAAAAGGAAATTTTTACATTAGTTACCCAGTCCATATAAAATCAAATGTCAGGTGCTGAAGAACGTTTAAAAATATTCTTTACAGGAGGAGCTGGTGTGGGCAAGACTTTTCTATTAAAGTTATTATGAGACCAAATTAATAGGTGCTACGCAAAGGATGCGGTTAAAGTCTGCTCACTAGCAGGAGTTGCAGCTAGATTAATAAATGGAGCTACGATACACAGTACTTTAAAATTGCCTGTACAGAAAGACGGTCGCATAACAGGTATGTCACCACTGTCCGGAAACTATTTGCGAATAATGAGGCAACAATGGCATCAGACAGAATTTTTGATTGTCGACGAGATTTCCATGGTGTCTTATCAAATGTTATGCATGATGGACGCTCGATTAAGGCAAATTAAGAACTGTGAAAATGAGTTTTTTGGAGGAGTAAACGTATTATTTTCGGTGATCTTTTACAACTGCCTCCTATAAAACGATCAGGAACACCTGTTTTCAAACAGCCAGAACATCTCCAACCAGCTACACATTTCTGGCGTTTATTCACGCTGTGTGAATTAACTGAAAATATGCGTCAGCAAGGTGACCAGACTTTTATTGATATTTTGAATGCTTTGAGAGTCGGTGAGCTAACAACCCAACATTTTAGTATTTTAATGGGAAGACTTCTTCAAGACACGAGTGATGAGTTTGCAACAGACAAAGCGTTAAGGGTATACCCCACAAATCAACAAGTTAACGACCACAACTCTGCTGTATTGAATTTGTACAGAAATAATGGTGCTCGCATTTACAAAATAAAAGCGCAGGATCAGCTAGTACACGCCACACGAAATGCAGACAATGTGGATATAGCTACTATAATACCAGCTGATATCAACAAAACTGGGGGTTTACCAGCGGAACTGCAAATATTTGTGGGGGCAAAAGTCATGCTACGGTCCAATATTGACGTTTCAAAGGGATTAGTAAATGGCGCTATAGGCTAAACATCAACGAAATCGTTTGGCCTCAATTTCGTCGAACTCAGCAACATGTACGCAACAGATGTACCTTCCGTCCGAATTGATTTCGCAAGAGACGGAGTACATCTTATACACCCGAAAGCCATACAGTTTCCAGCTAAGTACAATTACAGGACGGCTGAAAGAAGAATGTTGCCTTTAATACCATCATGGGCTTCTACAATACATAAAATGCAGGGCAGCACTGTGGATCACGCAGTCGTATACTTAGGTGCGAAATTGTTTGAAGAAGGTCAAGCCTACGTGGCTCTTAGTAGAGTAAGATCTTTGCAGGGACTACGTATAGAGGAGTTGGACTGCAATAAACTAACGGGCAAGAAACCTTGCAATAATGAAGCACTAAATGAATTAAACAGAATGCGAAATAAAAACTAAAAACTAGAAAATAAAAATAGGTAAAAAAACTTTTTAAGTTAAACGGTTTTATGTTAAACATACATTGCAATGTTTAAGATAAATGTACTAAAAACCAAAAAATAATAAAATAGATACAGTCGTGAGAATTATAAACATATGCATAGACTAGACTAAAATAAAACCGTGGGGCACGTCAATTGTCTACAATCGTTGATTAAAATGTTTGTTTTGTAATGTTACACTATAATTAGGCAGTTGTTCAACCGACAACGATGGACGTGTGATAAGTAGGGCTAGAATGTGGAAACAAGCTAGCAAGCTCGATTATAAGCGAGTTTTAGGGTTTCATAGTGGTGAGCGAGTAGTACTTTTATCATATGTTTTGTCGATTACAATTTGTCTTTAACAAACTACGAGCAGTGAAACGATTCCTCGCCAGCCAGCAGTGTGAATGTCCAACGATAAACTAGTTGAAACATCTCTTTTATTTACATGGAGTGTATAACTATTGGAATTTCCGTGAGCAAGAAAATAGTAAGTAATTTCCTCACCGTCTGCGGGCCAACTGCCTATTTTAACGACGAATTAAACGATTCTTCTATCGCACATTAAGTCGATAATTTGTAGACAATTGACGTGCCCCACGGTTTTATTTTAGTCTAGTCTATGCATATGTTTATAATTCCCACGACTGTATCTATTTTATTATTTTTTGGTTTTTAGTACATTTATCTTAAACATTGCAATGTATGTTTAACATAAAACCGTTTAACTTAAAAAGTTTTTTTACCTATTTTTATTTGTTGTTGTCATTACGTTGGTTTCCGCTAGGATCGAACTTTCTTCTTTGCCTATGCTGCTGTAGGAATGATTTGTTCAGCAGGCACTGATTTAAAAGTTTGATATAATGTATCAATCGCGTCGAAATTTTTCTTTTATTTTTAGAATTGATGTTGAACAGCGCCATCTCTCTTTAAATTTAGACCTATAATAAAGATGATGATTACCAGTATCTATCACTGTATATATTTGTGACAAAAATCATTAAGAGAACTGAAAATAAGTAAATAAGAACATTTTTATAATTTTGTTTTGTCTGTCTGTTTCTTTATGAACTTATTCGGTATAAAGTAAACATTTTTTTTTCAACGAAATCGCTTAGAAAATCATAAATCGTGTCTTCGCATAACATTTAATCTTTGTTTTATTAAAATCGGTTAATTGTATCAAAATGTATGATATTTTCAAAAAATAGGTTCGAATTAATTCAACGGCGCCATAAAATCTCAGAAATAATAAAAAAAAATATTAGAGTGTAAAATTATGTTCTATAATAATATGTTTATACTTATAATAGACTACACAAAAAAATATTTTTTCCACAGATCACAGATGTTTTTGTCGCCCATTATTATAAAAGTTCTGTGTGCTTTGTTAATAGCTTTGTTTACATTTGTATAAAAAATACCAATTTCTTCTTCTTTCGCTAATTCCGTGAGTGCATATACTTGTATAAGAGATTCATTTCCACACTTGTATAAGAGATTCATTATATTTCCTTGTATTTTTAAATTCAAAACTGCAACTCTATCTGTTATACCTATGAAGTTTTCTATATTATTTTTAAGTTTTTTTATGTATTAAATCCAACGCCATACTTTCCAGGTGTAATTACTATGTGGCATAGAATATAATTGTCATATTCCTCTATTTTTGTTCCTGGACGTCTCACTTCCGATAATTCAATTATATCGATTTTTATATCTTTCATTGCCTCTACCAATTCTATTATACGTTCGTACGATGACAGTGTTTGATTAAAACTACTTTTACGGATTTTATCGCGTTTATTTTTTTTTTCTTCTTACTTTTTATTTTTATTTTTAATTCCCGACGTTTCGGGCGCTTTCCAGCACCCATGGTCACGGGGGACTGAGATGACTGACGTCCCGATGTCATTGTTAAACCCGGAGTACCTTCAGCTTTTTTTAATTATTGTTTATGGTCCGATCTATGCAAAATGAACTGACTATGTCCTGAGGTCTTGCAGTGGTATGCTTGGGTTTAGTTTTAATTTTATTGATTATAGGATCCCAAGCAGGTGGTAGTACCCAGCCTCCTTCTCTATTGAAATTAGGGTGTTTTTTAATTTCAATAGCCTCACGTATCATCCTTGGTAGGAATCGGTGTTCTTTCGCGAGGATTTGTGGTCTATCAAATCTGATGTAATGGTTGGGGCCGTCTAGGATATGATCACAAACTGCAGACTTCCCGGAACGTTGATGCTGTCACAGACGTGTTTGCTGTCACAGATCCCTCGTGCCTCGTGACAGCAAACACCTGGCCGCCGAGCTTCAGCACGTCAAGCAAGTTCTGCACGACAACAAGCTTCGGGTCCCGCGCCTACGTCACAGTGACCAAGTGAAGCCGGCCACAGTCGAGCGTGTGCCTGCTGTACTACCATATGTCAGAGGTGTCACAGACAAGATTGGCTATATCTTGAAGCGAGCTTCTATTAGAACATTCTACAAGCCGCCGAAGAAGATTAGTCAGTTCCTACCATCCGTCAAGTGTCATATTCCTCTACAAGATGCAGGAGTGTACAAGCTTGATTGTGAATGTGGTCTCTCTTATATAGGACAAACCAAAAGATCAATTAGGACCCGCGTAAAAGAACATATAGCTGATGTGAAGCATCAACGTTCCGGGAAGTCTGCAGTTTGTGATCATATCCTAGACGGCCCCAACCATTACATCAGATTTGATAGACCACAAATCCTCGCGAAAGAACACCGATTCCTACCAAGGATGATACGTGAGGCTATTGAAATTAAAAAACACCCTAATTTCAATAGAGAAGGAGGCTGGGTACTACCACCTGCTTGGGATCCTATAATCAATAAAATTAAAATTAAACCCAAGCATACCACTGCAAGACCTCCGGACATAGTCAGTTCATTTTGCATAGATCGGACCATAAACAATAATTAAAAAAAGCTGAAGGTACTCCGGGTTTAACAATGACATCGGGACGTCAGTCATCTCAGTCCCCCGTGACCATGGGTGCTGGAAAGCGCCCGAAACGTCGGGAATTAAAAATAAAAATAAAAAGTAAGAAGAAAAAAAAATAAACGCGATAAAATCCGTAAAAGTAGTTTTAATCATGTGCAATGTTCGCGTAAATATAAGAAATCATGATGACAGTGTTCTTATATTGTAGGTTAGTATGTAAAGTTTGGTGGGTAAGATAGTTATAGAGTTTGTTAACATGGTTGTATTTTTCTTTGGAGGTTTGTGGTCGTGATCTTTTTCGGTGACCAGCGGTATTAGAAGATAGTTTTTGTTTTTTGTTATAATATGTTCGTGTATGATATCTTCGTGGGAGGGGTGGGTTGGTTGTTATGTATTCTTGTTTTTTGTGTGTAGGTTGTTTGTTATAATACTGGTATTTTTATTGACTAAGAAGTTCAGCATACCCAGTTTCAGGACTCCATCTGATAAGCTATTTGATCTTCGAATCGATGTCTGTGGTTGGAGTGTTTTGTTCTTTTTGGTGGCATGAGTATTTCTATCGTCCTGTGGCGGGGAGTTTTTTTCAGGTGATGTAGGGAGTGTTCTTTTATTGTTAGGTTTTACTATGATCAGTTTATAATATTTTATTCTTACTGTATTGCCTTTCTCTCTCTCGAGGATCATTTGCTGTTGTAATTCCTTACTTTTTTCTAAAATATATTGTGAATAGTACTCCATATAATATTGAGAGTCTTTCAGCGCTCCTTTTTGTTTAAATATGTTTATTTTGAGACCGAGAGTAATGAAGGTTACTATTATTGGCTTTTTTTCCAACTCTCTTTACCTCCTGAATGTCTTTATGGTCTAACCTTATAGAAAGACGCTCTCCTATCCACTTGACGATATTGTTTTCCAGTTCACCGTACGAAGAGTCTCTCTCCTCGATGCCAAAGAATACTATATTTCTCTGTCTTGACTTTTTCTAAAAAGTTTGTCTAAAAAGTATATTCGTTTGTTCGTTTCTATTCATTTTCTACCTTTTTTTAATTTTTCAAGCTTTTCTTCCCATACAGAAAATTTTTCATCTAATATTTTATTTATACTCAGAGTTACTTGATGTGTTACATTTTCCCCACTTTGGCGGATCATTGTTTTATGTTCTTCAAAATCTTTTTGTATGGTACGAAGTGCGAACTTCTTCCATGGTTGATAATTGAGAGTATTCTATTGTTATTATTGCGCTCTCAGTTTTTCTTTGCTGTACTACGTTGATGAATTGATTGCGGTCGATCAGCTTCAGTTACAAACGTGGTACAGTAGTTTAGGATCCCGCTACTAGATGCTGCTAGATGTTTTACGTATTATATATTTACTGTACTATGACGGTAGTGTATTGGTTACGATTGTTCTAATTTGGTGGTAGTATAGGCACTGATCAATAGATGGCGCTTTTAACCAATTATTTCGGGTGCCGTGCAATAAAAAGATAAATACCTACGTATGTTTATGTTACGTTGTGTTTTTAAAAACTTTTTACTTTTTTTAGTGGTCTTTAATATTGCACTGACGTTTAATTTATTTTACTTTTGCACTAA